TCTGTAATAATTACCTATTAAATAAATAATAATAATAATATTATTTTCGAAACTACACGATGTTCCAATGCAACTTCAAGCGATTTACAATAGTAACAATGTATTACATGTTTAAGATTACTAATTTCGCGAAATGGGTGATTATTTCCTCACACATGAAAATATTAATTCTAATTCTCTCTTCTTAGTTATGGCATTTTCAACGAATTGTTTACAATTAAAATATCCCTAGCAACTATCAAAATTTGTGCATGAAGATAGATGTGTGAGAAGTTATGACAGAAAGTTCCTTTCGTAGCATTTTTCTGCTCAACGAGACCGACACGAACGCTCAGCGAGATTAGCACGTAGATGAGACGAGACGCACCTGAGTTGGCGCCGGTCACCATTGCCGTCAGCCCATCCAACCTCCGCGTTGACCTGCACATTCCAGTCGTCTTCTTGAACCACACTTTAAACGCAATGGCTGCCACCACCACGCACGCCGCCCCCACTCCCACCACCACCCCCACGATCTCCCACACCCCCATCGCAAGCGCCTCTTCAGACACGCAGCTCGCAGAGTTCCTCGTGCGTCGACGCTCCCGCGACAGCTTTCGGCCGGGCGGTTACGCGCGATCTGCATTGGGCAAGCGCCGAAAACAACTGCCGCTCAAGGTGTTCTCCCACAGAGGCCCAAACACGTGGGTCCTTTCTTTGTGCCGCTTGACCTATTTCCCGAAAAACCTGTTTAATCGCGCTTTCAAGACCACACTGATTCATAAATCAAAATACTTTTGATATTCAGTCTATAGGTTTCATTTTAGTAATAAAAATATATAATGAACTTTCATCATGAAGCCTAACTGCACTGTACATTATAATTCATTACTGTCCACAAATATAAATGATATAACTATTTTTCAATCTTGATCCCTGGAATATTGGATTAAGAAAACTATGCAATTGCTCTTGAAACCATTGACCTCGTATTTTGAAGTGAATGTTAGTACTTGACTAATAAAATTTCAGCTTTACGATAGTTGGCAATCTCCCTTATCATTACTTTCCAAATGAAAGTGTGAAAGACTTATATACTGCAGTGTAATGGTTATAATTTGATTTCTGATACCTTCCATTTAATAATATTTAAGACGACTGCAAAATAAGTTGCTCTGCCTTGTGACGTTTACGAATTACTTGTTAAAAGTAATATTTTGCATTAATTAGCACTAAATATATTTTGACCGTACTATAACTCAAAAGCAAGTTTTCTGATTTATTTTTGCAATTAATACTGACTATATACATATAAAATCGGCAATAACTTCGCAAATTGAATATGTTTATAAATCATTTAGAAATTAGATATTTTCAAATATCAATGGCATGGTTACATTGCGAAGATATACACGAGGACGAATACGATACTGGCAAGATTTTCGCAGTATAATTTGAGACGGGAAGCCAGGTGAAAATTCAAGAAAGGTTAAGCGCGAATGAATTGAGAGAATTAATTTGTTTTCCTTATGAATGCATTTCTGATAGAAGGCTCATTGGCATGAACTGATAGTTAACATCTGTAACATCTGCAAAGGGTGTGTGTGTGTGTGTGTGTGTGTGTGTGTGTGTGTGTTGTGTAAAGAAGTAAATAATGCTGAAACTTGGCCGAAAGGTGGTAGCGTTCTTTACATAGTGATGATTGGATGTATGGGGGTGAAGTAAGGAAAATAAATCGAACGTTTTATAAAGCAAAAACAAGTCGCTCCGGATTTGGCCCAACAAACAGAAAGGGTTATGAAAGACGTGTTAGTTTGAGGGCAAATAGCCAATCAACGCCAGAGGCTGAGTAAAAAGTGAAATGACCATGAAGTTTAGATGCTGCTTGCCATTAAATAATGTTCGTTACTTTTGGGGTCATCTTTGAAGGTGACGGTGGAGTTTCTTTACAACACCAGCGCACATTCTCGAAGATAAAACTTATTAGAAAAACACGTTTTGGAGCCTGTATAAACGTTTTGTCTGGAAGTTTTCCAATCCAGATGCTCGTTTCTCTGGAAGTAGTGCCAGCGAACTCAAGTAAGCTAGTTACCTTGCCCGCGACCTCGAAATACCCCTTATATATTTCACATAAAATATGTTTAGAGTTTTCCTAATTTCTATTGATAACGCTTCATATACAGATTTAATTATTGTGACGCTACGCATAGAAACTGGAATTCTTTGGATTCCAAAAATTTTTCAATTTCAATGAATTTTAAAAGTTTTTTATTGGTAAATCAAATTACAACCAGCTATCTAGCATGTCAAAAATCCACTATACCGGCAAAGTTAGCCCAGGACAGCTAGAGCTGCCACCGCAGGTACTAGTGTACGAGACCCATCGTTGGCAGATTTTCGATACTAGCTACTTAACTATATCGAATTCAGCCGCTGTCTGGAGGAGAATTCTAGTGGCCGCTGCTCTGCTCGGTAGTTATCCGTGTTTTTTTCGTTAATCATCAGGTGAATAGCGGAGCTGTTTCCTAACACACGGGCAAAGATACGCGCGCGATATTTTCTTCCTCTTCCTTACACTGATCTCTCCCCTTACACACACACGTATACTTATGTGCACTTTACTACCACACATATCAGGAGCTTAGAACTTACCCTTTCGTGTGTGGTGCCCCGATGGGAGGAGATGTCTTGAAGGGGAACACCGGGAAGCCTACTTGTAGGTCAGAATGGCAGTATGTTTGTGCCTATTGTGGAAGAATGTGTTTTAAGAAAAAACAGTAAACGCGGTACGCAACAAAAAGAACAAACATGATCCAAACATCAAAATGACCTTTGAAGATTATAAAAAATTGAAAAAAGCAAATGCGTCAAGGTGTGAATGTTTGGGCGGTAAGTCTGTAATTAAAATTCTTAATGATAATGGTGGTGATGGCGGTGGTGGAAAGATCTGACGGCTCCCCTTCGACCTCCGGGCCCGCGATTCGATCCCCGTCCGATGCAAGTGGAAGTTGTGGAGGACAGCGTGGGCCCGTGGCAGCTTCCCTCGGGGCCCTCCGCTTTCCTTGCCTGTGACTCTACCATCTTCTCCTCCGTGATCATATGTATTGATTAGCTAACCATCACCAATATTATATTCATTACAAAATCTTATCTCAAACGCTTAATCAGCGAGAACAGACTAAGGCCATGTTCAAGGTTCTTTCGAAGTACAGTCGTTGTGCCGTCATCCCAAAAGTTCTTACCGTACAGTATTAATCATTAATTAATTATTAATATTAATTAATATTAATATTAATAAATTAATTATTGTTATTAATATTAATAAAAATAATAATAATAATGATAATATTGTGACTGTACGAATCAAGAACGAATAAATACAAATACATATCAAATTTTAACACAAATATTTAATTTTACGTGAAGACCACATTGACTATCATTTCTCAATTTATCATTCTAAAAGTAAGCAATAAAAGAATTTATGTTACTTTCAATGTGAAGTTTGTTAAAAAATACAGTTATGAGTACATTTTCTTCAAGTCAAATAATGTATTTTTAATTTAATTTAATTCAAAGTACAATTTTTCATTGTGGAGAATCGTACAACTCGTGAACGAATTTGGATGGCGTGAGGAATGTGTAGCAACAACAAGCCTTGTGTGGCACCGGTATTTTGTGAACATTGCTGCGTGTGAGGGGTTCATCAAGCAATTCTTTTGCAGCAAAGTTTTAATCAATCGTAATGATAAAAACGTTATATCAAAGCTTAAATGTGAAACTGGTTAGGTAACCAAGTTCTTTAAAGAATTGTAACTTTTCTATAAATAAAAAAAGAAAAAGGATAGGAAGGTTTCACAATTTATAAACCATTGATTTCTTTCCTTAATAAATGTATATTTTAAGAATACTGTAACGTAACCTATTATAAGTGGAATTAATACAAATAATTTAGAAATCAAATTATCCTTTTTTCGACGCTCTGATGTCAAAAAGCATTGAGAATTCACAACTGTTCTTCTCTTTACGCTAGGAATACAATTGCTCATTTCTTCTCAAATATAGAGGGCAAAACACATAAATTATGAAAAGATTGACATCCAAGTAAGCAAACTACATTCACAACCTAGAAGTATACTTATCAATACTGATTAATGGAAAATATTTACAAAAATATTCTTTGCAGTATTACAAAACTCTTCTTAAATACTTAAAATATTTAATATTTATTTTATTCCATAAATATTTTTTATATCGTAAGTATCAAACTTTATTTCAAGTTTCTAACGATAATGTCTGGACAATTGTCAAGTCTCACACCAAATCTATTGATGTTCTTTCTCTACAAGAGAAGGACACAATAAATTGCAATTGAAGGTGTGATTACTTTCTATAGTTTATATCCGATATCTGTTCACCGGTTTGCGAAATTCGAGAGATCTGGTACACACATACGATTCAGACTATACAACTGCTATACTACGGAACTAGACGTAGGCTGAGCTTTCACTTTCCTATTCATTTGGACAGTTAATCGCGTTTCTTCTCCCTCGTGCGGAAATTGCAACTTATTCACTACTAAGATTGTTGTCGACCCCGATTAACTGGAATGGGGGGTTGTTCAGAAGGAAAATTTAACGCAACTTCAATATTAGAAAGTTTACCGCTTGTTTGGACAAAAGAGACACAAAAGTTAAGCACGAAAGCAATATGCAATGTTGGATAGATTATATAATTAGATATATAATTTTTTGTTTAAATATGATGTTTATGAGCTCACAGTACGTGATGTACAGTAATTCGCATTTAATACTTTTCCTTCTGAATATTCATACTTTAAAAAATCCCCTTTAAAAAATATCAGGTAAAAACTTCCCCACTTTGCAAATACAGGCAAAGGCTCTCACATGTTGTCATATTAGTTGCAGTCATGGCTTAGTGAAAGCCGCCACATGGCTTGTGCACCTTCAATAAAATAGAATCGCAAAAGAGCAACGAGTCTTATCACAACTGCTCTCTGCACACATACACACACACAACACGTTGAGTTCCAAATTAACGCCGAAAAGGCTGTCCTCGGTGGCGTTTACGCGTCGAAGGAGGGCTGTTCCTCCGCGCGCACCTTCACCAGCTCCTGGCTCTTGTTCCACACGCTGCGCGCCAGCGCCTCGTCGTACGCCTGCGACGTCATGCGCGCCTTCTGCGCACACACACACGCGCGGCGCTCGGTAAGGTAGCTGTCTACCCAGCACACAAATATTCTACAATTTTGGGTTCATTTTATTTTCCTTTGTACGTTTGATTTCATTGTGAGTTTAGAGAGTAAATACAATTTTTTTCAATTGGTTTATAAATAATTCGCAAAAATCTAGGATATTACTTGAAACATCACAACTCTTCAACAAATTCAAGTATTTTGAGAATTCTTTTTTAAAATTAATCACAATTGGATTATCTAGTGAATGAACTAGAATGGTAAAGATGCTGTTAAAAGTAAAGAGTCAGATCTTGTTAATTTTTTTAAACATTTTGTCTGGATATTTTCGTTCATAAACTTGAAATTAACTATTTTAGTTCATTCACTTGATGATTTAATGGGTTACGTGATGTTAAAATAATTATATCATCTATAATATTTTTTGATTTATGATGTTTGCCGTGCATGAATGAGCTGAAAATTCCCAATTCGGGAAAATACATCTGAAGTTCATTCACTTGACAGTACACTCTTGCTTCGAAAAACAAAATTTTCTCAAAAACTAAGAATCGTAGCGAGATACGGTTTAAAGAATTTAAAAGAAAATAAAACGGAGAATATGGACCAATAAAAATTAAAAACATGAAATTTTACAATTTGTCGTCACTCTTGAGTACACAGCTCCCCACATTCTGTACTCGGCGAGTAGGGAGCTACCGCTCACCGAACCCCGAATAGTGAGGATGAGTTTCGTCCAATTTGCTACGCGACGAACATTCGGTGCTCGCGAGTCGGTCTTTTGGACACATCAAAGGAAGCCTACATTCGCCGAGCGCATCAGTTGCTCGGGATTGGGCGAGTATCGCTGCTCGGCGAATGCCGAATGTGTGAAGCCAACTTTAGGCGTGCCCCAAGGCTGCTTCGATACGTACAGGCTGAGGGCTCCCGGACGATGGTTTGAGTTCGCGTTTTACGTTCTTGTGGTCTCATTGCGCTTCGATGATATGCCATATGCAAATTGATGAGGAGTTTTACATTGAATATATATCGACTTCCTGCTATTAAAATCGTTCCATGGAAAGATTGTGATGATGGATTGATACACAAAAAGAATGAAATGATTTTAACAGCAGAAAGTTGTCATTGCACAATGTAAAACATCTTAACAATTTTCATTACGATATCATCAGTGCACAACTAGGCCACAACAACTTTAAAAAACGTCGTTTATAAGTATGTAAAAATATGCACTATTTCACTCAGCGAAGTGTGAACTCAAACTATTAAGTTTGTATCGAGTCGTCAGTTTAATTAAGTAACAAATGACGCATTCGGATCTGCGTCTGCTAGTCCAAAATGCTTCCAACGAATTAGATTTTAATCCGACAATCCCGATTTTAATACAAATATTATACGTAATATTGTTAAATAGAAACGTAACTGAGACCAAAAAGCTATTAATTTGAATTAAAATGTTTGATAATGGGATACATAGTATGAATATTTAAGCAGTATATTGCAATGTTCGTTACTTTTGGAATTAGAATTACAACAAAATTCCATTTTACAAAGTAACAGGTCGTTGTTGTACATGTTCAATAGGAATAATTCTCTTCAGTTGGTATTTTAGCGCTAAAGAAATCAGACCTACCTTGCAGTCGACAAAATAGTGGCCTGTCACTCCCTCGACATCCTCGGACACCGCGACGTGAATGGTTGTTTGAGCCCCTTCAATTGGAGTCTGAAAAAAGGGTCAAGTTTTCACTTTCCCGCTCAATGGTCGTTTGGTCCCTAGAGTTCATGAAAACATATCACGTGACTAAACCACTGATCTTAGAAAACATACCATTTTCGGTCTTCACTCGTGATTATTCTATATTTTTCTTTAATAGTAAGTTATTAAGCTTTTAAATCTAAATAACTAATTATTTAAAATCAATTGGTTATTTTTACTCTGAGTTTATATTTTTTAGAAAATGGCCAAGGAATTACTTTAATGGTTGAAAGTTGTCACACACAAAATGTAAAACTCCTTAGCAATTTGTTTATACCACATCGACAGTGCACAAAAAAGTGGCATCTCAAAAATCATCATTTCTATGCGCAAAAAATTGTTCAGAATATAGTTTATTTTTTTCTGTAAACAAATTTCATAAAAAGGTTTACAAGAACCCGTATGAAAGGAAATATATTTCCACTTCGATCCTGAAATAAGTAGACCTAATGGGATACAAATCGTTGACCTAAAAATGACACTATGTCAGTTTTCTTGTGCACCAACAAAATAGAAATCTTCTCCTCAATAATTATTGAAATTTAAAATTATTTGTTGATTTAAAAACTAATAACTAACAACTAATGTTCGTTGAAGAAACACAATTTATCTCCAAATTTAAAAAAAATAATTGCACGGACTGTTCACAAATATTAATGTATGAAGTCTTTTAATAAAAATATTCAGACTACCTTGGTGTTTATAGATTTTTTGAATGATAAATTTATTTAATTAGATTTTAATGTTCGAAAAAAAATCAATGTATCTCAAATGTAGGAATTTAGCGTCAAAACTTATAAATTCTAATGTTAGAGGTAGCTATGTTATTATTTTCAAATCACTCTCTTGTAATAGAGAAGAACATAACAGATTCCTCTACCTTAAAGAATACTCGCAGAACTATGCAGACGGGAATAGACATCCAGCGGGGCATGCGGCGAATGATGTTTGTTAAAACAACGCCTGGATGCAAGCTGTTGACTGTCACACCTATTACATAAAATAAATTCATAAGTAAATTAATAAAATAAATAAATAAATAGAAAGAATACTCCACTTGATAAATATAAACAAATGCATTTTACGTATATCCCAGTGACAACCAACGAGAAATATTTCAAACCTACTGATTTAGTTACTCGTTTATGGCTTGAACATGACTCGCACGATCTTTTATTTAATATATTTAAGCACCCTAGTGTATAAACAAGAGCACATGAACAAACACAAATGAACTTGCATGCACTAAGGCAGAATTTGAACCCGCAACCACTAAGGCAGAATTTGAACCCGCAACCTCTAGGTACGTGCTACAGCGCCCCGACCTTTGCGACATTGTCTATCCAGGTGACTTAATTATTTTTTTCCTAACTAATGAACGTAGCCCAGCATTTCTTTATTCATTTACAATACATATTTATTTATGAGTGAAAAGAAATTAGGTATTAGATATGAGAAGCAATTTGAATAAAATTTAAGCAATTTTGTTTGCATTTCCACCGCCCCGGCACACCTCCGAAGCTCCCGATTTCACCTCTGCGACGCAAAGTAAGACAGTGGAGGTTGCATTAAACCACGTTTTGTAAAAAAGAGACAGAATACCATTTTTATTCCCGAACTGGCCTGATTTAAGAGTATTCGAGGAAAGTTTTATTGAAATTGATCCGGTATTCTAGAGTTATCCTGCAACACTCATACATTGAGTTCGGCATATTAGGAAGATTTCCATCCTCACCACTGCCTTTGAGCCGCCTGGCGAACTCGTTGGCGATGACGACGTTGGCCAGCTTGCTCAGCGTGTAGACGCTGAAGTCGTTCATGTCCTTGGCGTGGTCGTGGTCCAGCATCTCAGGCGCGATGGTGGCGAAGCGGTGCGCCCACGAAGACACGAACACCACCCGCGCGGGCGCCGACTTCTTCAGCAGGTCCACCAGCAGCAGCGTCAGTAGGAACGGGCCCAAGTGGTTCACCTGGCGCCAAACAACACGCGTGGTTAGTTGCGGGACAGTAATAACAACAACAAAACAACAACAATAACAACAACAAGAATAATAACAATAATAATAATAATAATAATAAATACAGGCACAAAATTTAAAAAAGTTGTCAGTCCCAAAGACTTGACACATGTTTCTTTATGTAAGTCGGCGCGCTGAAGCCAGAATTCAGCCACCACCGTCCAGTTTATTTTAATTCCGAAAAACCACTGTGAAATGGCAAAACTGGAAATTTTACGCTGCTTTTTTGCAATTAAAAAAAGGAGAGTGATGGCGCAATTCTGGCTCGAGATTCGGATTGAGCGCGTCGACATACATAGAGAAACATGTATTAAGTTCTTGGGTCTGAAAACATTTTTATTTTTTTACATTTTGTGTGCTTGTGTAATTTCATTGCTTGTAAATGTTGTCTGCATTGTTACATCCGACTCCGCGTTGCCTTGAGGTGTTTCCTTCCTCCTGGCAACTCCCTCGAGTATCACCACCACTGCTGGGTGAAGCCAGAGCGGTTCCCCAACATGCCGGGTTAGGGTTACCATACGACCTCTTTTCCCCGGAAATGTCCTCTTTTTCGTGCAAGAAAAATTGTCCGCGCGGATTTTACAAAAAGGGCCTTTGTTATTGGAAGAGGATGTATTAAAAGCAACCTAGACGTATGATGTGCGCATGGCGCTGCGCTTTTTCGCAACCCATTTGTGTCGTCATAACATTTGTATAAATAAACGTTGTTGTGAAAATAAATGACATTTAACTTGAACCATCTTGCCTAACAACCGCCAAAATCCTTAGATCAACAATACTCTTTGAAATGTCCTTTACTTCATGAAATACGACAGTACTGACATTAGCTGGTTCAACGTATGGTATGCTGGTGCTGGTTATACATTCTACTGGCCTGTGGAATTAATACCTGAGGCCTTATATTTTGAGGATGATGACAGAAAGAAAAGACTTTTTTATTGATATACATAAAGTAAAGTTCAAAGCGTTCGTTGCAAGGTTCAAAGCAAAGCGAAGTTCTAATTGTTGAGGAATATTTCATCAACCACCAAATATATCTGGTAAAAATGTGGAAAAGATCATGTTAACGATAATGAAGTAGGCTTAGTGAAAAGTATTGTGAAAGTGATGACTAATTGACGTATTTGTCAGTACTAGATATTTTTTAAGAAAGAACATATAATTACATTAAAACGTTTTATATGAAGAGTACTCTTTTTTATAAGAAATGCCTTTTTCCTTAATGGAAATATGGTAACCTTAGTTGGATTACAGTGCATGTGTATGTGTAAAGGGTGAGAAGAGGACGAAATGAGGAAGGAAAGGTAGCTCACAGTTCGTGGCCCGCTAGTCAAGATACTTCTTCGGCATTCACATGATATTTAAAAATGGAAAACTAGAATTTTCCTCCAGTCAGTGGTTGAATTCGACCAAGCTATTGAGCTAGTTTTGAAAATGGTTTACAGTTGGGTTTCAAACCGGAGGATTTCCCGCTCAGAGTCTCTGTAGGGAACGACTGTTACCAGTAAATCTGTTCAACCGGTCACACGTGAGGTAGTCATTGAAAAGACGGAACAAGTTCATTGAAAATTATTTTATGGAGGTTCTGATTTTAACGCAAGAGTGCAGGTGACACTCAGAATACAATAAAGCTATTGTTATTTGGAATGCTTGTATTGTGCCTCGTGAAGTGGCGATGTCTCTTTCTGGTCCTCTGGAGTCGAGTACGCGTGCCTTCGTGTGGTCGGATTTTCCCGACACGGATGGCTTTGGCATTAGCACCGTCCTCGATATTCCCGCCAATGCCGTCCGACTATTTCTCGACAAAAGTTGTATGTAGTGTATACTAAAAAGGAGAAGAGTACAAGGATCAAGAACGAAGTAAAAGAGATTTCCAAGAAGCGCCTGAAACTGATTGACACATACACACCGAAAACCGATCAGAGCAGTCAGACATTACTTCTCACACTCAGAGAGTGAGGTTATTTGACTTTCCTAGTTACCCGTTCTTGAAACAATGTACACTATCGTGCTCTGAACTTGGAACATGTCGGACTGTGGAATGGTATGACTTTTAACAACTGGGAAATTCGTTTCAGTAAATTAATTTTTATCCCTGGCCATCACGCTATTTTCTGCATAAATCATCAGCCGAAAACTTACTTTGGCCTCGTTAAAGAAGATACGAATACATTTTTTCCAGATCTTTAAATTTTTACGGAAAAGAATATTGGAAATAACGCGTACATATGAATAAAATAGTTATTTTCCTGAGTTTTATTCAATCCCCAAATCGATTTTCGAAATGAATTATTCCTTCTTTGTAGTTCAGAGAGTGCTCTAATGTCTTGAATTGTACTGTGAAGTGATTAGTGTGGAAAGAAACCTGTACTGTGTCCGAATGCCACCTCATTCTGTGCTCTATCCTAACATAATCTAACTTAATTAGTAACCACAGATGCGATGTTCAGCTGTTTGATTTTTTTGCGCTTGTTGCGGCGTTTAGAGGAAATATTTTCACCGCGATTATGTGCATAAAACGAAATGACAGTTAAAAATGCTAATCTCTTTCATACAGTAACGATATCGAAACAAACCCGTGTACAAACGAACATCAGTTTTCCATTCTGTTTATGTACAAAAAAATGACCGTATATAACGAGCTTCAGAAATGACAAATTCTCTGGAAATTGAAGAAGAATATTGGTTGTCTGGTGCGGCAAGAATTTTACGAGGAGATAATATAATAAAGATAAAAAAGAACATTCAAATGTCAATAGCCCACCAGAAGTGGAGCGGATTTTTTAGTGACGTACATCTGAAAGAGGGGGAAACCGTATCAGAAACGATTGTTCTGCTGAAAATGTTCAATCTGCTTATCAGATTTTACAGAACGTGAGCCACACTTATGCAATAAAAATACAGTGATTGACCAGCAGATACAATAGTTTCCAAATCAGAGATAAAATTCAAGAGTTGCAAGGTATTTTGATTACTTCCACGAATAAAACAAGAATGGAGACGTGAAATACCGCACATGTTTTATATGAATTTAACCTTTCCATAAAATATTCCTAGTCCATAAAATATTCATAAATGCTTTCCAACTTCTTTTTGGGCATACTCGTACGTATAGAAAGTAGTGGTGTTCAAATAGGACGTACTTTCTCGCCCGAATTTTAATGCTAAAGTACTCAATTTTCCGAAAATTTCTACATGTCATTATTTCAAAATTATCTTTACAGAACATTTTCATTAAGAGAAAAATCTCTATTTTTAATACATTATTTGTGGGAAGACCTCGAAAACAATTGCAATTTTCAAAAAAAATAAAGTTTTCAACGAACCTGGGAAAATGTCCCAGAGACTTCATGTGAAATACTCCCAAAATTAAAATACCGGTTTCAAATTCAAGGAGCCGCGACATCAGTCAGATCGATTGGGGAATATTAATTTTGGAGAAAATCGGCTGAACTGTTTAGCCGCTAGTGTTCTTCAGAGGCGGGCGGGCGGAGATAGAGGATATTTTTCTAAATTTAGCAACTGGATTTATCCACTTTTTCGTTACCAGGGCCCTGCTAAAAGGGTTTTTCTGCTGAAAATTCGGCTTTTTTTCGCGCGGCATTACATAACTTTCTACTCCTTAATGAGAAGTAAAAAGATTATTACATGTGAAGGCTAAGGCTAAGGCAAATGATCACAGTAATCACCTGGCCAGGAAAGGAGAGAAAATAAATATTTAAGTCTCCTCCCCTACATCCACTCTTACAAATGAGCATGTCACTCATCTTTTCACCCACACAAAAATTGAAAAAATTGAAATTGAGATGATTTGCACTGGCACAGATCGTTGCATGGAGCTCGTGGTGGATGGAGTGTTGTGGGAAAAGGAATGAAAGCTCTCTATTGGAGCAATTTTTCAGAATATTTTGAAGAGGTTATAGGTCTTCATGAAAAGTATCGTAAAAATTAAATTGTGTAAACGGCGCTACTAGATATTACTTCTTAAGTGATTATCAAGTCTGAGCTCAAACGCTTATCCGGGGCACACTCATTCAACCACACAAATTTCGAGGTGAAAATTGTGTATGCGCATGTTTTCTTGAGTTTTGGCTATAAGCGAGTAGGGAGGTTGGTTATTTCATGGACAGGTCTTTTACCTGAAGACAGTAGCTCGTTTTTGACGCAAAATAGTTTATTACACAGATGCAAACATTTCTGGATTCTAGATTTTGTGAACAACGATCGTTGCTATCGTATATTATTAATTCAACTAAGTGAAAAGGGGCGCGGGAAGTTGTGGGAATCAAAAAAAAAAAAACTTTGCGCGAATATCTCCTCTTCACTGGCACCAATCTTAACCGTTTTTGGAACAGCTTCAATAGTCCTTTATGGTGACGGGCGTGGTAATTTACAGTGGCAAGATTTTTCGACACTCGCATACCATCTACGTCGAATTCAGTTGCTGACTGGAGAAGATTTCAAGGGGCGGTAGCTTTCCGAAGTTCTTCCGATCAACCAGGGGAATGCCGGAGCATTTCCCTAACAAACGGGACGGACGTCGCGCGATCTTTGGGGATGGGAATTAAATAACACACGAGAAGGGTCGTAGTTTGCCACCAGTTCTCGTGGGCGTATTCGGGTGCGCAGGGGCCACGCATGCGGAAAAACGGGTTAAATACATCTCGCGAAGAGCCAGACGTACACGTAACGCGACTGAGCAGTACGGTTTAGGTGGCTCAGGGCATCAACTGATGTCGCTGCAGGGCCTCTGACCGGGAGGTCCTAGGGTTCTACTTCCGACGGTGGCAGGATTTTAGACACTAGCCAAAAAGCTAGATCTACTTCTGTCGCTGTCTGGAGAATAATTCTAGCGGCCGGCTGCTCTGATCGGGAGCTTTCCGTGGTTTCTCCGATCAATAGCAGGCTAATGTCGGAGCAGTACCCTAACATAACGGGCCACGGAATGCGCGCAATCTTTCCTTCCTCTTCCTTGTCCTATCCTCACCCCTTACTTACACACTTACACTAGTATGTACAAGACTACCACCCATGCCGGGCGACCGGTTAGAGCATGTCCCGGCTGGGGGCGGTGCCCCGTTGGTGGGATATATATGTTTGGGGAAAATCCCGCTAGCCGACGGTAGGATTGCACCGGATCTCTCCATCCAGCGGGTAAACCTCCTGAGGGAGAAAATACGCTCTACACTTACTAATTCCCTCAGTAGTTTACGCGGCCGGAATGACTACCAATCAATTAGTCTGGTTGACCGCCCCGCTCCGCGCTTCAGTGTTCCGTGCCGCTTCGTCCCCCCCCCCCCACGCGCCCAACCGACCGTGCTGAAAAGACGTGTATCGGACTGACCTGCAGGCCGCGGTGGAGGCCGTCCCTGGACTGCACGGCGCCGAGGCCGGCGGCGCCCGCGTTGTTGACGAGGATGTCGAGGCGCGGCTCCGTGGCTCGCACGTGCGCGGCGCACGCGCGCACCGACGCCAGCGACAGCAGGTCCAGCGCCACCAGCTCCACCGACGCGCCCTCGCCCGCCACGCTGCGCACGTCCTCTGCGCAACACACGTCACAACAGTGGTAGGGTAGAAGGGCTGGCGCACGCGCCGTTCACCGCACTCCGGTCTGTGTACATTTTTTTCCCCACATCGCTATTGGCCTTTCTGTAGGCCACACGAACGTGCAGTTACACCCACCAAGGCCCAGTCCTATTTTTTCCTGGGAGTATGCACGTGAAACATCACTACGAAGATCTGCATTTCTACTGAGTGCACTTTTACGCCCCACGGTTGTTAGTCGTGGAGGTATGGAAGATGAAATAATAATTATGAGGGGTGAGAGGACGACACACACATGCAAACATAAATACGAGTACACCCATGCCCGAGGCGGGACTCTAAGCCTCGATCTTCAGGGCCTAGACCTTAACGATCTAGTCCAACTGACCGTCTCCTGGGTTCTTTTTTATTATTATTTTTTTCATTGCTTATTTTACATCAAAATCAGTTAAGAACTTCGTATGTCATGCTACGGGGAGAATTGGATTCTGTTAACGTTTTCATAAATCTATGATCCCTACTAGTGTAAGTTTGTCTAGTTTCTGGGCCTAGTGGTAGAATATATTTGGAATGAAGGATGCCGTGCAAAACTTCATTAAGAGATGCTAATCTCAAAGGGATTATATTAATACAATATATCAATTCCTGTTACAAGTTATGTTACAATTCGTAACAACGTTCTATAATAGCTAACTACTGGCGTCGTGTAGTGGAGAAATCCTCCTTTGATCTACATAGCCCATCATTGTCCAAATTGCGGCTCGAGGTGCCATTTCTTATGACCCGCGAGGTTAGTAGTCAAACGTGAAAGGGCCTTGCATCTATTGTATGTAGGGCGTGAACATAGCACACCTAACTCACGCGCCCTGTCGGGGTCAATACCCCCCTTAATATCAAAATAGATATTTATATTTAAGGATTTACCTAGTAAATGCAGAAATTAAAATTCATCCTAATTTGATTCAATTCGTTATACATGGTAAGGTCCGATACCACGCATATTTCCATTCTTCCCTCTCCCCCATTTCAGAGCAGCCGGTCGAAGTTCCCACAAACGGTACGGAGAAGTAAGGTGTGAATCGCCCGAGTAATGAAAATATGGCCCCCAACCATATTAAAAGGTTTTAACTGTGGCCCTTGAGGCCTTGCAATTTGGACACCCCTGATATAGTCGTAGTAATCAGTCATTTCCTTTTATCCCTTCGGCCAGGAGCTCGGGGTTGTTAGAACCTGGGATTCCGAGACAATCACACATCCACGAACACGTGATGTCTCGAACTGCTTAACCTCTGTGATTTCATGGAGCGTAGTTAAGCAATTCATCTATCGACGCCGGTTCCGCTTAGGCCTGTATCACATGAGCGTTATGTTGACGCGCGATAAGATTGCGCGTTAAGATTGCGCGTTGCAGATTATCACGGCTCACGAGCGCTTTGGCTGTTCCGCATACAATAGTGTTATTCTACGACGCGCGTCAACGCAACGCTCGTGTGCAGGGGCCCTTATAAAGAGCGAAGTGGGGACTCACCGAGCGCCTGCTGCCCTCTGAGGGGGTCTCTACAAGCCAGCAGCACTCGCGCGCCCCTCCGCGCTAGGTCGCGCGCCGTCTCCAGCCCGATGCCTGCAACACACAAACACGCACTTTCCTTAAGGAGGGTCGCCTCCAAATAACAAGCTGCAGATAAGAATTACAATTATTGATTGCCATTCCCCTTTCTTTCAAAACACGAAACAACAAACAATTCTCTGCCGGCCTTGATAGACGAGGTGTTTAGGGGTGAAGAGCCTTACCTGCTTCGTGCTTGAAGGGTTGCGGGATCGAATCCCGCCCGGGATATGGATATCCATGTGTGTCCGTATACTAGTATGCGAGTTCCTCCTAACGTTACCCCCAAAGTAATAAAATCAGTGGTCGATGTATGACCTTAGTAGTTGAAAAGCGACCTTAAATAAGTGAGGAAAAAAATCCATTCTCTCTTGCCTAAGAATTGGTTATACACAATTAACTCAACAACATCTACTAAATAAAGAAGATACAAAATTATGTTATTTTTGCAAAACATCTCTGTTCTCTTACAGTTACCCAAATATAACCATTTGAGAACATATCCTGTCTGCTGAAGTTAAAATATTGGCCAGTTTCAATACTCAAATATTTTAAGTGTTTAAGTTTTTAAAGGAAATAAATGTATAGATATTTATGTAAAGCAAACTTTTTCATTATATAACTTGGTAACTGTAATAAATCTTTATTAGGAATTTCATTGAAATATATTTTGTACTAATATATTTTTTCATTTAGTTAACTAAATATGCTCATTAATTCCATTCGTTGATTATTTCTATGTTAATAGCATGCGTGCAATTAAAATTCAATCATGTAAAACTACATACCTGCCAATGAGAATTCAAAAAAGAGCTAAATCGTTTAATTAAGAAACTATAACACACACGTAGCGAAGGTATTTGCAGTCGGCCGTGAAACATGAACAGAAATGTACATCACAGATTACGTATTTACAACAACTACATTTAAACAACTAATGAATAAAATTAAATGTTTTACACGTAAAACATTTGGTCTATTGATTAGGAATGTAAAAAAATTAAACGTCAGATCTAAAAAGTATACTATAGCAAAACTGGGCCACAAAAGACTAGTTTTTCCCCCAATATTTATACATGTATTCTGTCTCATACCTGACTTTACTTTTCGTGCAAAGTAATTTTTCATGACTATGTCAGCTTCTTAATATTTCATCCGCAATATGTCTAATACTCTTGATTTGCAAATATTACGTGGAAACAAACACAATTCAAAGCCCACTAAAATATATATTTTTCAAAAGCAATACTACGTCATGAAATGTATGGCTCTGATGGTAAAGATGTGCTTCAATTTTAAAAAAATTAAATTATTCTTTAATAGAAAAAAAGGTATTGAACGTAACATGTGTACGAAGTTGTATTATTGCACTCATGTTACATTAGAACTCGGTCCTATCGTCGGTCGTTTTCTTGAACATACCTCTGATGCAAGTAACCCCCTCTTTGTACACTAGTTTCATTAATTACTGTAAATGTATACCATGTAATGTATTATTAACCAATGTAATATTATATTGATTGCTAATGACATGAAGTTTATGCGACCTTTGTCAATGAACCATGTTAAAAAGAAGTCGGGGAACCATGTCAGTTAATTCAAACTTGTTTACACAATATGCAATATTTAGCACCATGAACTACTTAATCACTTCCTTGTTTTTAAAACTCATTCCATATCTAATTAATGTTTGTTTTTCCTATTGCAGCATTACCAAATTATTTTTCCTTGGACCGCCTAAGAAATTCTTTACCGCAAAACACGGATTTACCTCCCGATACGACTTTGTATTTCTAATCTTAACGATCATTTTATTAGATGCCAAGTAAAACAAAAATAACTTCTGTACTTGAATCCAATTTACACAGCAAACTGACAAATGCAAATAAAAATCATCTTCTATTCCTTTTAGTGAAAAAATATATATTTGTTAGTCTATTGATTGTAAGATTTTTGTCTATTGATTGTAAGAAAATGTATCTAATATACTTTACTTATTATGGGAATATTATGGTAATTTGTTGCGTGAAATTTCAAAATATTAATTCGAAACAGTACACGACATTGTACAATATATTGAGTACATTGCCGCAATTTCTTCTACATATATTGATGAAATTTACCAATATGTATGAAGTTTCCTAATCTATTTGCAATGTTTCTCAATTCTGCTATTTTTCTTTAAATGTTGTACATGCGCGAATAATAACCACGATAATATTGATTATACCAATGAAAATTATGACCCTGCTCTCTATAATATTCTCGGTTGCAAAGCGACCAAAACGATTTATGGAAAAATAAACACACCGACAAAACAACTTCTCGTATCTATTTCTATAATTTATTATTTATGAACGATGTTTTCCTGATAAGAAGATGGTATTACGAAAAGAAGTGAACGACGCACTGCCAATATGAGAATATAACGGACTTGGTTGTTCGGTTTTGGTCTTGGCTTAAAAAAATTCACCCGCGTCCGTTATTGGCTGTATATCGGCCTGATGTTAATCACCGTCCACCCACCTGAGTTGGCTCCGGTGACGAGCGCCGTCAGCCCGTTGAGGCGGCGCGTGGACGTGCAGATGCCCACCGACGACTTGTACCACAGCTTGAACACCACCGACACCACGAACAGCGCCAACGTGTACTCGTTGAACAGCACCATCCACACCATCGCGAAGACCCCCATGGCGCCCGCTCTCAGGTCCTCTCGCGCTCTGTGTGCACGAAGCGTTCGCTGCCGCCGGAGGACGCGCCTGTTGCTCGGCTGGCGCTGCGGCTCGAGTGGGCTTCCGCCGATCAATACGATCTCCGGCGGCCGCTGCGCGTTTTTAGCGCTCGCGCGACGCCGCGCCGCTGTTTGATCGTATCGCGCGACGCGGCCAGATAGCCGCCGTTATCGGCAAAGGTCGAAGTCCGTTCGCGGTGACCTCAAAATTTCCTGTGAGGCAACAGCGAGTCATAGTGGCTCTGGATGAAGTGACGCTCTTCTTAACCCACTCCCTTAGGGGACCAGACAACTAGGGATGCGACATGGATGTCGATGTTTTTAAAACATCGATGTTTTTGTAGAAACATCGATGTTCTCAATATTGATGTATTAACGCTGATGTTTTTTAACATCATTATTTATTATCGACATTTTTCCCCGATGATTTGTTTCTGAATGAAAGATTCCCATGATCACTATAATGTAAAAGTTAAAATATGAAACTAATAACTTATGGTAACAATGTAGTTCATGTGTTGGAACCAAAGGAACGCTTTCTGAACTACCTTGATCGATCACACTCTCTCGCTCGCGATGACTTCCATGCCATTGTATTTCCACTTTCTTTATATTCATTTCGCACATTGAGATGTGGGATACAAATACGCTGTGGGCGTCGGGTCTGCCCTTTTTTCTCGATGTTTACTAACGTAGATGTTTTGTTATCGAGGTGATCCATATTAGCCGAGACAGTCCCTTATTTTGAGCTTCTGTCCCGTATTTTTTTTTGAGAAGAAAATGGGACGCTAAAATGTTCCTTTCTTTGCGACAACGACTTGTCATTAAAATTAGCATTAAATATTGTGTTCTTCGCATTTGTTTATAAAGAAATTTTTAAAGAGAAAATGCGGCTATGCCGTCTTTTCAACTTGTTCGTATATGCTCTAATACTAACGACATCGTTATGAAGAAATTCAATATTCCGAAGCTTCTGCTTCTGAGAGTTTCTGGGTGACTTAGTATGCAATCTTCAATGAGAAATACTGACCTATTTCGCAATGAATGGAAGTGCAAATTAAACAAAAGCGTATTTTTGTATTTCTAATGTTCTTTATCATGGGTCCTATTTTTGAAATAAGAATAATTGTCGGTGTGGATTTTCAAAGAAAGGACGAAATGTCCTCTTTTCTTTTGGATGGGGGTATTACTTTTAAATCCAGCCTTGACGTACAATGTATGAAGGATACTGCTATTTTTCAACATTTCAAAGTCCCCGACATCATAATATTTCATTGATTTATAGATAAATGACATTTAACTTCTATTATCTCGCCCAACAACCGCCAAAATCCATAGCTCAACTAGATCAACATACGTTCTTTTCTTCATGAAATGCGACAGTGCTGCAATCAGCTGATACAACTTATTGCATGATTGGGGCTGGTTATAGATTCTGTGCTCTGTGATGTTAATACTATTAATACCGTTCTGCTGACCTGTGTAGTTAATACCTTGTGCTCTGTGGTGTTTATATTTCGACCAGGATACCAAATAGAAAATCGTTGTTTAATTATATACTCAAAAATTCAAAGCGTTTGTTGCAAGGTTCAAAGCAAAGCAAAGGTTTAATTGCTGAGGGAGATTTCATCATCCACCAAATACATCAACTATAAAAGTGGAAAAGACAGAAATGATAATAAAGTAAGCCTTTTGTGTGATTGTTTAAGTGGTGACAGTGATTGAAGTATTTATTTTGCCAGAAGTATTTTTTTAAATTTAAGGTCGCATCAACATCTAGGTCATTAGCATTAACGACTATTGCTTGTAACGGTGTGGAAACTATCAGGATGAAACGATATGATGATGATAAGGGGTGAAAGGACGAACACAATACAACCATGCCCGAGGCGAGACTGGAACCGGCGATCCTTCGGTCCGAGATCGCTACAGCACTACTGCCTTAGCGACCTCGGCCATCCGGACTGGCAGCAGTATTTTGTCTTTAGGAAAAATAAATTTCTTAAAACATTTTATATGAAGTGTCCTCTTTTTTTTAAGCAATGTCCTCTTCATGTATAATGGAATTATGGTAACCCTCCGCCTCCACCGTCCCTGCGCTTATGACCCCCCCTGGCCCCACCTTGCGTTCTCAGAGTCGTCTTAATGCTCCACAAGGTCTTGGCGTTCCCGAAAGCGCGAACGCGTGTGGTCGGCAGGTCTGCTGCGGAGTTGTTTGGATTAGGCTCGCAACACGCTACCAGGTCCAAGGTCCGCGCTCGCTTGAATCAGCCACCTATCTGCCGGATGATCCCATGAGGCGAATTCCGTTTTATCCTTGCGAGACATCGGACACGCCACTTCATCCAACGAGGTTCAAGTTCCTTGTTGTTCCCTGGCTTTTATTTCTATCAATTCTAAGAGAATTTGTGTAAACCTATAAAACGATAAGAAATAAGTTTTATATTGGCTGTAGACATACGGTCTTAAATAACATAATTAGTCTTGATGTGATAATACGAACATGCTGCTCACAAAGTTGGGGACACCAATGTGTGTAGTCGTGTTAAGTTTTAATCATCGACTTCGCTTGCTTCGGCAATATTTCGATATTCTGTTATTGTTGTTTGGTAAACACATTAAGCTTCCTAACGTGCACAAGCCAAATCGGCTGCAGTTATTCATAATGTACCCAACAGATTAAAATTCCTGCCTCTCCCGGGAAACTGGAGGGGGGAAACTGAAAAAAAAAAACATTGGCAGCAGTACGCTCTGAAGAAAGGCCAAAATAGGGGCGCAATCCACAATGGCCGGAAACGTTGCACATGAAATCGACGGGCTCGTCCGAGATAGCCCACCACACTAAACTCCAGGAACCGCGGAACTAACGACGCAACCAATTCCCTAGTATTTAGCGGCCGAATGAGTATCAATCAATTGTCCTGGGTGTGGACCGCCGCCCGCCGCGCTTTCACTGTTTTCGCGTGCGTTCGTTCCCACGACATGCTGTCTGGGGGCCCAACCGACCGTGTCACAAAAGAACGTGATCGACCTGGACCATGCAGGCGGGTGGAGGCCGTCCCGGGACGCAGGCGGCGCCGAGGCCGGGGCGCGCGTTGTTTGACGAGGGTGTCGAGGCGGTCGTGGCTCGCACGTGCGGGGCACGCGCGCACCGACGCCAGGCGAGAGCAGGTCGCGCCCAGCTCACGACGCGCCCTCGCGCAGCTGGCACGTCCTCTGCGCAATCACACGACAACAGTGTAGGGTGGGAGGGTTGGCGCACGCGCCGTATCACCGGACTCCGGTCTGTTTTTTTTTTCTTTTTTTTTCAACATCGGTTATTGGCTTTTGTAAGACCAACGAAGTGCAGTTTACCACCAAGGCTGTTATTTTTTTTCTGGGAGTATGCACGTGAAACCATAACGCAGTGTAAGTCGTCGCTGAAGGGGCAGAGGACAACACATGTCGAAGGCCAGCGAGGGGGGGGGGGCGGGGTCCTTTGCGGCAAGCGGAGGCCACAGAGGTGGGCGCTCCTCAAAGGGGCCGGTGGGCGTGAACTCGGAAACGTGGGTGTCAACTGGCGCAGAGGGGAAATTGAGGGTGAGTCAGCCAAGGTGGCAGCTGGATCAAATTGCAAACAGGTCCGCACGTTTCGGGATGAGAGGTCGGCGGATGATGAGGTCTGTCACGTGACCTCGGAGGCGCGGAGAGCAACCAGCCGTGGGGCATTCGAGTTTGAACAGCGAATCGCGGTGCGGAAAGGCACATTTCACAGCAGGGGTTATCGCGGAGGCTTCGCGCGAGGTGTGGCGGTTGCCAGGGAACAAAGGCGCAGGTGCGGCGCCAGCGCTGGGGTCTGCTTCAGGGCTGGGGGGATCTCAGAGATGTGCAGTGCTGGGAGTGGCAGCGGCGTTTAAGGGGAGTGTGTTATATAGTGTAATAAAACTTGTAATAAAATGTATAAACAACTCCGTGTCTGTGTGTACTCGACCCGACGAGCCAAGAAGATCTGCATTTCTACTGAGTGCACTTTTACGTGCCCCACGGTTGTGTCTGGAGGTATGGAGATGAATAATAATTATGAGGGGTGAGAGGGCGACACACCTTGCAAAACATAATATCAGTTGCAGGCCGGGACTCTGAATACGATCTTCTGGTCGAGACTGTGCGACACTACTGCTTAAGATTTGGTATCTGATCGTCTCTGAATTCTTTTTTTTAAATTATTTTTAAAGTTTATTTTTACATAAAATCTGTTAAGAATTGTATATCGTGCTAAGGGGAAGAATTGAATTCTGTGAACGTTTTTATAAATTATACGATCTAATAAGGTAGGTTGGAAGAAGAATGTGTGGAACGTTCATTAAGAGATAGTAATCTCAAGGCACAATTAGTTGCTAGTTATGTTACGATTTGCACAGGTTTAATTATAGCTACTAGTGGGCGTGAACGTGAATGGAGTAATACTCTTTAGATCAAAAGTCCAAGGTTGTTGCAGGGCATCTTTTTATGTGGTTTGTTAATAGTTTGTTAGTCAAAGTAAAATGGCTCTTGCATCAGGTTCTGTGAGAAATGATTCAACGCGCTGTGGCTGGGTCAACGTTCCCTTTGATGTAAAAGTAAAGTTTTAAATTTTTAGGATTTTTCTAGTAATACAGACAATTAAAAATATCCCACTTGGATCACTGCTCTAATGCATGGTACGGTCGATATAGTATGGTTTCATTCGCATTCCCAATTTCAGAGCCGGTTCAAAGTGCCGACAACAGTACGGGGAAGTCAGCGTGTGGATGACGAATAATGAAAATATGGCCGCTACCGGTATTAAGGTTTTAGCTGTGGCCTTGACGGCTTGCACAGATTAGACACCGTGATCAAGTCAGTGGTTCATGCAGTCGTAGCTGTAGTCTTGCTTGCTTCCGCAGGGGCTAGATCGTTGAGACTGGGATTCCGAGACAGTCACCCTCCACAAACCCGTGATGTCTCGAACTGCTTAATTCTGTGATTTTATGGAACGTAGTAAGCGTAGTTTACAATTCATCTATCGGGCCGATTCCGCTTAGGTCTGTGCATCAATGTTATGTTGAGCGCGATAAGATTGGCGCGGCAGATTATACGCACACGAGCGCTTTGGCTTGTTCCGCATACATACAGTGTTATCTACGACGCGCGTCAACGCAACGCTCGTGTGCAGGGGCCCTTATAAAGAGCGAAGTGGGGACTCACCCGAGCGCCTGCTTGCCGCTCTGAGGGGGT